GGGGGGGGGGGCTTGCTCGCCTCTCGCTCTGCCTTACTGACCAACTTCACAATTCACAAGCTTCTTTAAAAAGTTTTATTTCATAATTCTTAGAAAAAAGTTCCTAAGTGTTCATTTCTCAGTATTTTTATTTATTCTGTGTGCTTCATGAACTCATCTATAAGTTGTAATCTTATATTTATCAGTGGTTTAAAACTCACATGTATCGTTTTACAGTCAGGTTAGGTTTTACCAAATACACACATTAATGAAAGGTCAGTTCGCCTCATTTTCAATTAACTGACAAAACTAATTCTTTACCAAAAAGGTCAAAACAATATAGAATTATTTTGAACAAAAAGTCTGTTTCTTTTAGGGCCAAGCTTAAAATCAAGCCTTTTATTTAAATGGCCTTCTGAAATACCATTTCAGTATTTATATAGAACTTTATAATCTACTGATTAGCTTCTAATGTCACTTCTTTGGATCTTCTATTAGAAAAATTTTGAAGCCTACAAAAATAGAAAAGTGTAACAAACCCCTATGTACCCATCGCCCAGCTTCTGTATTGTTTCCCCTTTTGAGCAGCGCACTGCCTGAGTAAGGAGTCAGGTTGGTTGTTCCTCCCATTCCCCAGCTGAAGGTCTGGTGTCTGGGAGTGGTGATTTCCCCCCATTTCCATTATGTTCATTGCCCCTGTGGTTTCTTATGTGACTTACAGGGATAAGGTTATCAGCTCTACTTGAAGGTTAATTTTTAAAAATGTATCTCTTAGCATCCCGAGAGAGGTTACAAAGAGCATCAGTGACGGCTTTTTACACCTGCTTTGTTGTTTTTGTTTGTGTGTTTGTGTCTGTGTTTGTGTTTGTGTTTTTAGAAGCGACGTTCCAGCAGGCAGGTGAAGCGGAAGCGATACACGGAAGACTTGGAGTTCAAGATTTCCGACGAGGAAGCAGATGATGCAGACGCTGCTGGGAGAGACTCCCCCTCCAACACCTCGCAGTCAGAGCAGCAGGTCAGCGGCCCGTTCGCGTGGCTCTTGTGCACGCCGCGGAAGGTGGACTGGAGACTTGATAGCTGGAGTCCCAAAAGCTCCGTGGAAGCCTTGGACTCTGAGCCGGAGAACGTTCATTTACTGTTGGCTAACGTGCTGTGGGAAATGAGTTGTTTAGCAGTGTCTTTCACAAAGCCCCGTTCGCTGAAATTCATTTTTATATAAGCCTATGATACGTAACTTGACACAGTTTTGGAGAATTAATGGTCTGTGTTGAGGAAGAGTCAGAGCTACGATGCAAGGAGGCTGAATTTACCTCTGAAGAATTCAGGGCCGTAGCTTCTGGGACTTTAATAAACCGCTCAAGCTTGTCTCCTGCTGTTAGGCACCGTCAGAACCCCTTTATGAAATTACTGCCTTGTAGTACCCAGCAGGGCATACTTTATTCTCTGTGCAATGTAAATGATGGATAAAATAGTTTGTCTAAAATATGGGTAGTAATGTAGGATTGATCATTGTAAAGATCTTTTTTTTTTTTTTTTAACGCCCCTCTGTTCCTATTACCGTACTTCAGTTAACAAACTGGTAACCCATTGAAAAGTATATTGGATGCAGTTTTTTACTCTATTTGGTGCTTTGTGCTATGTTAAGTTGTTACGTAACGTTTTACGTGGCCAACATGGATAAAAGCTGCCTACGATAACAGAATGATGCGGATATTTACCCCATGGGTATAGATGAGGAAAAGTTACATTTTTGACTGCTGTCATGCAGAGATCGTTTTCTCTTGGCGGCTAGAGTTTCTGAATGCTCTCTGGCTTTAGGGACCCTGCTAGTCCACGTAATTAAACCACATAATCATGAAGTAATAAACACAGATTTTCCTTTTGCCTTTCTGGAGAGCAAGAGCCTTGTTCTTTACCGTCCTGTTTCCCACCGGCGACTAAAAGGGTATGATTTAAAGGGTATGAATTTAAAACGTACAGAGGTAGATGCAAAAGGAATGATTTCTTGTTTTGATGGCTTGGAATGAAATGTTTTCCATTTGGATTGATGTAGCCGACTTTTTTGTTTGTTTGTTTGTTTTAGGAATCTGTTGATGCAGAAGGTCCAGTGGTAGAAAAAATCATGAGCAGTCGTTCAATAAAAAAACAGGTGAGCACCATTTGGAGTGATCAAAACCTCTGGTGTATGTAGGACTCTTAAATTATTTTCTGCTTTATAATTTCCTTTAAAAAAATTCACTAGTATAAAAGAAAACTTCTGGTGATATTTCTAATCCTGTCTGATTTGTTAGCCAAATATAAAACTTCGGGATATTTAGCCCCAAATGAAACTGAAATATATCAGACAGTCAGTGCTTTGTGACATGATTTAGAGTAGGCAAGAAACTCAAAAGTCGCCAAAGAAATGTACAGGGCTTTTAGAGTTATAGGCTGCCTTTTTCATAAATACTATTCATAAAAGTCATAAACATGAATTTACCTCTCATCTCCCTCAGGGAAGTTCCCTGCCCGCCCCCGCCCCCGCCCCAGGATGGAAGTTTATCATTTTAGTGAGTAGGTGTTTTCTCATACTTTTCATAACATTTCTTCACGTACAATTAAAATATTCATTAATCTCTTTTTTGTCAGTGCAAAGTGTAATTTTTGAAGATAATATGACTTATTCTTCAAAATTCTTCAGCATTTGTGTTGATCTGCAAAGGTGAAATCTGGGTACCTGTCACTAGTCTGATAACTTTGTCATTGAGGAGCACATCTACCCTGTGACAGAGAAGTCCAGTAACCCTGTATTGTCTTCCACTGATTGAGATTCCTCATTTCATCCCAACCAGCTAGCTCCCTTCTTGCCCGGTTAGAGCAAATGCTTTGTTTTGTTTGAAGAATTACACAGATATCGAGCTGAGCTACATCTCCACGTTCTGACGTACAATCTCCAGTGTCTCTAGAAAGTGGTGTCCTTTAGATACAGGGTATCTGTCTTTCAGCTTGAGTCGTTGTCAAATGCAGCCCTTTCTTCTTACTTGCTTTCGAGGTAGGTGGAAGTACAGCTCATTTTTTGATATGCAAAATAAGTTGTTGTTTTTTTTTTTTTAATGTGAGTTGTGTACAGAGTGTAACTTCCCATTGAGAGAGGTGAGACCCCAGTCTTCTCAAAGAGGGAATCTTTGCTCTTCACAAGCTACTGTCCAGAGACCCTAGAGAATGGTATTACACCAGCAGGGCGCTTCTCTTACCTTTGTTGCAGTACTGTTTCCTTTTCTATTGTGTTCTCCAGAGTGTGGGTTTGTATCAGAATATACAACTCTAGTTCCACGAAAATAATCCAGAATGACACGTCGAGATATTTTCACGTGGAGTGTGGGGTTGGGGGGGGGGGGTATACGGGATGGCTATCTGTCGACTCTCTGAACATGACAGTTTCCTCGCTGATGAACCAAATGATAAAACTTCAACCAAAATTCTCCCCTGTTCAAGCAGAAGTGAGCACTGTTTAAGTCATTAGAAAGGTTGCATTTTTGTCCTGCTAGTGACTCTGGAACTGTTAATTTGTGACTTGTAGATATATGGTAAAATTTAAATACTTGATGTGCTTTAAGGAATAATCCCCTCTGCAGAATTGAAGTGACTTGTTTGAGTAAATATCATGTGGTTTGGATGGGATATGTTAATTTTCATTCAGTTGATAGTGCTTCAGCAGGCATACACAGCAGGTTTGGGTGTTGCAAATTATAATTAGCTCTATTATTCAGAGCTACTTAGACTATGCATTATGTAGGACATTGCTTTTTCTTTCTGCTTTGCCCACGTCACAGCTTTTTCTTTTCTCGTTACCCTTAAAAGGTAGGTACCCACAGTTAGAGATAGGTATTGTTACCATTTATGGACAGCCAGGTTTGTTTTATCATAGGAGATTAAAATTCACTTTAAGTGTATATGGGGGTGGAATATTTGTTGAGTTGGTGAATTTTAGGATGGAGAAGATGAATGGAAAATTTCTCTGGAAGGGGAAACATGCCTTGAGGTGTGATTTACAGTAAAGAAGAGATGAGCTCATTGAATTGCTTGTACATTACTGGTATTTTTCATAAAGGGCGATAAAAAATAATTAGAACATTGCAAACCTTAGCAGGTACTGACTTCTTAAACTGCTAATGTTCTTGGAATAGTTACTTTCGTTGTCAGCTTTATGAACATTGGGGGGAAAGTGTGGCAAATAGAAACAAAAGGAAATTTGAGATCTTCCTGTGGATTCTAGCTATGTCTGCTGGTCTGTGTCCTGTTACCATGAATAGTTGAAGGAGTAGCTGTAAGAAGGTACCTTTATCTCCCCCTGGCAGCAGCGTAGAAACCTGTGGTGAGCTCTCAGAGCCTACCCTACATGGCGCTGACACATAGTGGGGACTCAGATAATGTTTTTCAAAGTCCGTTGACCTCGTCGCTGCAGCCTGAGAAGCATGACTGTTGTGATGGAGTCATGCAGACGCAGAGCTCATCTGGCAGAGCCTCTGTAATTCACCTCATGTTTAATCGGGATGGCTCGGGCACGTATGTTGTCCTAAACTCAAATTCATATGTGTTAGACATATGGGATATGGAAAGGGATGTAGTTGATACTTGTGTTTGAATTCTGAGGTAGATTTAAGCATGGACTTTTGGAGCGCCTGGGTGATTCAGTTGGCTGAGCGTCCAGCTCTTGACTTCAGCTCAGGCAATGATCCCAGGGTTGTGGGATAGAGCCCCATGTCGGGCTCTACCCTGAGTGTGGAGCCTGCTTGGGATTCTGTCTCCCTCTCCCTCTGTCTCTGCCCTCTCCTCCACTGGCACACACACTCTCTCCCTTTTTGTTTAAAAAAAAAAAAAAAAAAAAGGACTTTTGGATTGTACAATGGTTAATTCTTTTGTTTTCCACATTTAGCCTGTCTTGTAGCCCTGTCTGCTTGGAGGCATCTGTCCTTGGGGAATAATTCAAATCCTTTTTGTAGCAGAAGGTCAAAAACAGTTGTAAAAGTGAATTCTGGCTGTATTCCCTGAAATTCTTTATTTTTCTTTAAGTTAACTCATGATATGTTTTCTTAAGAGCTTATTTTAAATTCCAGGGTATTTGTTTTAATCCTCTTTAGCTGAACCCACCACCACCAAGAACAACAACAAATAGTATGTAAAGCAGGCAAAACTCTTCATCGCATTTATCATGTCCTATTTTCTCCCAAGGTGAACTATGATCTGGTATCTCTGCTAGAGTATACAGTAGGTTGAGTCACAAGTAGGAAGTGATTCATACCTTGCTTATTGATATCTTTATCAAGGTGCTTTGTCTTTTTGCTGTAAATTATTCAACTTATTATTTTCCCTTTTGGCACTATAGTTTAGCTTTGTTTTCCAGTGTGACTGCTTAATTTAGTAATAGAATGCTTGGGAAAGGTCATTCATTATTTTAGGCTACAGGATTATCATTTACTGGACTGCTATTCTAGAATCCAGGTGGCCAGAGGAGTCAGTTTATTGCCCGGTTGAGGTTTTGGGTTCCTGTGAGTGATGGGAACAAGTATGGCTTAATATGTGGAACTTAAAATTTCATATGAATAATAAGGATTTTCATAGGCTAGCTTTAGAGTCTAATGAAAAGATATACACAGCTCTCTAAAATTTTCTATTGAGGGGCGCCTGGGGGCTCAGTCGGTTAAGCATCTGACTCTTGATTTCAGCTCAGGTCATGATCTCATGGTTTTGTGAGATAGAGCCCCGTGTCAGGCTCTGCACTGACAAGCAGAAGCCTGCTTGGGATTCTCTCTGTCCCCCCCCCCCCCCCGCAACTAAATAAACTTAAAAAAAAATAGTCTATTGAACACATTAAATTACTTTAGAGGGCTCTCAAATTTGAGGGCTTTAGAGGGCTCAGAAATAAATATTCTGGTTCTTTGTATGTGTGTGTGCGTGCGTGTATAGAAATAGTGCTTTGAGTCCGTTATTCATTGGTTATTCCCGATATAGAATGGTATCTGAAAGTTGGGGCCTGGGGGTAGTTTGTTGGGGCTGTTTCCACTCCCACCAAAGGCTGGCCAAACTGCCATTTAGTGAATAATTAAAATGGTGTTCCCAAGGGCTTACGCATTCACTTACTTTTGTTAATTGTTTTGCTTTTAGTAAAGCAGAAGGAGTCAGGAGGATTGTATTTATATGAAACAAAGAGTGTAAAACAGCCCTACTCATTGTTCAAGGGGCAAGAAGGTGATCTAATATGTGTGGTCAGGGAATGGAAGAACAGGCTTATAATTTGGGATATCCAAAAGAAATAGGCCCTGATAAGGGCGCCTGGGTGGCTCAGTCGGTTAAGCGTCTGACTTCAGCTCAGGTCACGATCTCACAGTTCGTGGGTTTGAGCCCTGCATCCGGCTCTGTGCTGACAGCTCAGACAGAGCCTGGAGCCCGCTTTGAGTTCTGTGTCTCCCTCTCTCTCTGCCCCTCCCCTGCCCACATTCTGTTTGTCTCTCTCTCTCTCTCTCTCTCTCTCTCAAAAATAAATAAAAAATTAAAAAACAAGGAGAGAGAGAGAGAGAGAGAGAGAGGAAGGAAGGAATGAAGGAAGGAAGGAAGGAGCGAGCCCCAGTAGGATTCTGCACCGGCTCCAAGTGCTACCACACGAGCTCTTGGAACCTAATTGCTTCCTCTGAGCTCTAGACCCTCTTGTTAGGCACCTCCACTGCAGGTTCCTGGAGGAACAGCCAGTCATGACAAGAAAATGGGTATTGATGACCGTCAGAGACACAGACAGTTGATGGCTGTGAGTCAGAGCTTTTTGGCAACAGGATTGAGACGGAATGGAAAGTATCCCTGTTGTTCCAGAGTTAATCCTGTGTGCTTTGGTGCCCACTTAGAAATTATGGGATGGCGAGACTGTTTAGAATGAGAGGGAAAAGACTGTATAGGAAGAAAGATTGGGAAGGAGGAAATCAGAAAATAATAGAGCCTAGAAATGATAAAGCTTGTCTTTTTACCGTCTCAAAGAGACGTAATTTTGAAGCACTCTTTCTGAATTGAAAGAAATGCAGTTAGCTTCAAAAGAGTAAAAGCAGTCGACGACACATTTGAATTCCATTCCAGGATTGAAGTTCATGATATGCCATGACCAGTGTCAAAAGGTCCAGGGGCGCCTGGGTGGCGCAGTCGGTTAAGCGTCCGACTTCAGCCAGGTCACGATCTCGCGGTCAGCGAGTTCGAGCCCCGCGTCAGGCTCTGGGCTGATGGCTCGGAGCCTGGAGCCTGTTTCTGATTCTGTGTCTCCCTCTCTCTCTGCCCCTCCCCCGTTCATGCTCTGTCTCTCTCTGTCCCAAAAAATAAATAAACGTTGAAAAAAAAAAAAATTAAAAAAAAAAAAAAAAAAAAAGGTCCAGGCTCATCTTGGCTTTCCATTTGCCCTGGTTGTCTTCTGTCTTGTCTTGGCCTTCCTTTCTATTGGAATCTTCAGTTGACTGCTCTAATGTGTGAGCAGAAGGTGCAGTATTGGGGCTACAAAAGAGTAAGGCGGGTCCTAGATGGACTGTCACTCGATTGACTAGAATTTATCTCTAAATTAATTCCAGGTTTATGTTGCTGGGTATCTAGCAAACACTCGTTTTCATTTTGGATAACTGAAAGTTTATGGACATTGACGGTGTCCTGAAAAATTGCTTCAAAAGCTGCTTTATGGTTATGACCTTTATAGATGATTAGGTTAGAACCAGCTACTGATGGGCTTTGACCGCACTCTCGAATATCCTATCTTCTAATTGCTGATTTCTAGGCTGGTGGAAAAACAGTTTACAATTTAGGTTTAAGCAACACATGTGAGAGTTTCAAAGAAAAGTTTACGTTCACAGGCTTCAGTGGTAGTTTCAACGTTGGGGATTGAGGGAAATTGTAGCCTCTTTGAGCAGATCCTGTGCCAGCCTGTCATCCAGTAGAAAAGTCTTTGCTCCTTTGTTTGTCCTCTCCCGTGTTCCTACTTGCCTTAATTTTCTTCGCAGCATCTCTGAGGCGGCTTAGCCAAGCATGACCCTTAAGGCAGGCTCGGGTGCTCTTGTAAGAGTGTAAAAGCAATCCCTAAACATCTATAAGTGGTGTTTACGTTTTATATCCCCGATTTATCTGATCAAATGTTCCAGGAGAAAATTACATACTATGACTTAACAGCCCAAAAGCAAAAGGGGAAAAAAAAAATATTGAGAGAGATACTTAAAATATCACGTGAGGGCATCTTCCTCACACCCTGCGGAGGGTGGGATCAAGGGAGATGGTCTAGATAGTCTCGCCGCTGAACTCTTGGTTCGGCCGATGCATATCACGATTTTAACCTTACCTACGTGTAGTAGTGCGAGTGTTAATTTTATTTGGCTGCTATGTGTGTGAGACATCTTGTCTGAGAGGTTTTAATTGTACCATTGAGTGAAACTAAAACCGGGAATAGTGATGCACTGAAATTACAGCGTAAGAACAAGGTTTAGTTTTACATGGTTTCTTGTTTGGAGTTATTAACTATATGGAGGAATAAATGTCTTTTAAATATTTTAAAACATTAGAAAACCCACAATGTAAAGTTGCCATGAGGCAGCCAAAAATAATACATATGGCATTCAGGAGAGCAGTTGCTAATTGGCTGCTGCCTGAGAAAATGGTACACTTGGCGTCTACTTAACACTGTGGGTTTGGCACAGAGCCAGATTTGGGGTCAGGTTGTTGTGAATGAAGCTGCATGTGGTTAGGGAGGAGTTAAAATGATTCATGTCTCAGAAGCTGTAGCACATCGAGTAGCACGCACGGGCCGAAGCGCGTCCGTCTTCATCTCACCGGCCTCCTACCGCTCGCGACGTGCTCATCCGTTCGAGAACGTCCACAGCTCGTCGCCCCTGGTTTGTGTTCACGTGGGAGTAAATCATCGTTTTTGGAATATTCTGGTAGCTGGTTTGGAGCACGTGCCTGAAATTTTCTTTTGTTGCAGAAGGACTCTGGAGAGGAGATAGAAGTTGAGGAATTCTACGTGAAATACAAAAACTTGTAAGTAAACCGTGATATATATCTATACATGTGTATATATATATTTTTAATCGGGGGATATATTTTCAAAGTCCTCAATACGGATTTAAAAAATAACTGGGAAGTGGGAAGTTTTGGTGCGGCTTGTTTAGTGCTTTGCAGGCTGTTGCCTCCCAACTTTTGTGTCTTTGAGAATTTTAGGAATTTAATTTTTCTGGGAAACGTGTAATTGGTACAAAAGTCGGCCAACTTTCACGTATAACCAAGAAATCCTTTTTAGAAGGGCTAAAGCCTCACACGATAGTAGAAAAGTGAGCAAAGTGACATTTGCCTGTCCTCTGAGAATGAGTCTTACTCTGCGAGGCCACCCTCCGTCCTCTGTCTGGGCGCAAGATGGCCAGGCACTTGAGATGAGATCTCTACTATCAGGCAAAGTCTCTAGAAAATCGTGACATCCCTCACATTTTTGAAATGCAGCGAGCTGTGATTTTGTTTGTCTGTTTTTGTTTAGTGAATTTGAATTGCGTAAGTTGAAAAACGCCTAACTGAAGAACAACACCAGTGAGTTGTTGTTCCGCGTTGTAGATGTAGGGCCAGGCACGTTTTCGGGAGGCGGTGGCACTGTCGGGATCAGGAGTCATCCTGCTGAAGAAGCCTGCAGCCCTTTTCTAACCGAAGTAACACTCGCAGAACAAAGACAGACATCTTCATGGATAACGTAAAAATTAAGTGAAAAATTTGTAAGGCAAGGAACTCAAGCATCATACTGATAAGTTTTAGAGTTTAAAAGAGGCTTTGGGGAGTTGCTGTCAAAGCAGCCTAAGAAAATTTAACCCTCCTTTTAGAATATGAAAGCATCAGACCTCACGGTTTCTGTCATTCTCTCTTGTTGCAACTGGCAATGTGTTGATAAACTAATGTAGTTCTGAAGTTCTGTGAGCAACACCTTTCATCAAGTAAAAAGATGAAGAAGTCTTTTGCCATCGTTAGTGTGAGAGGTCAGTGAATTGCAGAGTACAGCGATCAAAAATGCTCGGTCAATATCAGATGGGTGTTGGCATCATTTTATACTCATAGCACGGTGAACGTATGTACACAGGTGGAAATTATACGTATGATGCGATTCCATCTAGTCGTATAAGGAGAGTGTCGGGATAGGTAAGGAGGCAGTAACTAAATGAACCAGAGAGAGTTCCCCGGTAGATTTATCAAATGAAACGTAGAGCAAAGACATTTAAGTACCAATTCCCACAAAATGGCACCGCTGGACAGGCCTCCATCCAAATCAGCATGTGGCAGTGGGGCTTGATGTGCCTGATTCATTCTTGACCAGGAACCACCGCCAGGCCAGGGAGACCTGTCATCCTTCGTTGGTCATGTGAGAGGAGGCAAACATAGTTCTAAAAAGAGCTTTTCTGTCTGATATTATTGAGTTCTAAGGGAAATTAAAATTTCCATACAATCAACCGTTTCTGTTAACCTTTTAGTTGGACATAATTTCAAATTTACAGAAAAAGTGCAAAAATAGAACAGAGAATGCCTGTTTTCCCTTTTGTAATTGACAAGCGTCTTCTGGAAAGGTATTTTGAGACTATTAGCTATGATCGTGGTTGCTGAGTGGTGATTTACTAATTCCATCACCCATTCTAAATTTATTGGTTGGGTTTCCACCGTAAGGAGGGCTTTGACCCTCTTACTCATTTGTTTCTTTACAGCTGTGTAGACTTGTGGGGTCTTATTTTATTCAATGGGCCATAATTCTTTACTATCATATCATTATTTACTCTGCTCACATTATCCCAGATTTGGCCCACAGGAGCCCCTCCAGGCTGGAGCCTGTCTCCTTTTGCCTTGTCCCCATCCTTCTTTGAGCACTTCCTTACTTTCTGGCACCAGAGGATATTCCAGACTCCTCTTACAATTTCTCTTTTTAAGGTTCTCCAAGGAGGCTTGGTTGTGTCTCCTGGAGAACGGCGTTTAGAAACCAAGATGTGAGTGCTCGGTGTGCTCATTGCCGCTGGGAGTCACCGTTTCCGGGGCCTCTCAGTGAATGGGGCTTTGCGGGCCACCTGCATGCGTACATGCATGTACACGCACGTGTGTGCGTATGCATGACATAAACACATGTGTTATGTATGCGCGCGCACACACACACACACATTCCTCTGTGTACCTACCTATCTACTTACCTAAAGACAATGAACACCAGCGCCTTTAGAGCGATAGTTGTGGTTTTGTATCAGCAGCACCATGGGGTTCATCCTCTCCTTTTCCCTTCCAATATTCATGACTCCCTTCTTCAGCCACGAGAAACCCGGCTCTTATTATCCCTAACATATTTGTTTATATGTCAGTCCTATAATATATAGGAAATGTTTTCCAAATTACTAGACCATATTTTTGGGAAAAAGAAGCGTACCAACCGTAAAGTTCATTTAGTATTTGTTTAGAATTTGTTGTAGTTAGCCAAAGGGTGTAGAAGCTAAGTAAATACTTGGTTCAGAATTTCCTTGGCTTAGTTCTTTTCTTCCTCCTGCCCCCTTTCAGCGTGGTTATGTTATTTATTTGATACTCAGTTGGTCTTTAGTTTCTGTCTGTATTTGTATTCCATTTTAGCTCCTCACCATTCTTGTTGATCTTATTTATTTTCTTTTTTTCAAGTTCATGAAATATTCACATGGTTCAAAAGTCAGAACTTGTTCAAGAGGATACTCAAAGATGCATCCTTCTCCCTTCCCTTCCACCCCATTCCTACTTACCTTCTCATTAATCCCAGATTTATCCTTTCTGTAATATTTGGCAGAAACATGTAGAGGGGTGTGTGTGTGTGTGTGTGTGTGTGTGTGTGTGTGTGTGTGTGTGTATAAATATATATACATAGAGTATTTTATATGTATAAAATATGTGTAACTTTCCCCTTTCTTCCACACAGAAGTAGCAGCTGTTTGTTTTCCTATGCATAAAAATAGCACTTTGGTGTTTAATAATACTGTATTTTGGAAGTTACTCAACATCAATCCATGGGTTCTTCCTCATTCTTTGTTACTGCTGTGTAGTACTCCAGTGTATGGCTGTATCATAGCTTGTCCAACCAGCTTCCTATGTATGTGGGCATGTAAATGGCTTCTGATATTTTATAGTTACAGACGGTGCTATGGTATATATTCTCTTGTCTGTATATTTTCAAACTGTTGGAGGCATAATTTGAGGGTGAATTCCTAGGAATGGGATTGCTAGATCCCAAGGCAAACATACGTGTAGTTCTGTTAAGTATTGCTAAATTCCCTTCCCTAAGGGTTGTGTCCCTTTGCATTAGCACCCAGAGTGTGTGAGCCCACCTTTCTCCCCGCAACCTTTCCAGTGTAGTGTGGTGGGTTCCCTTTTTGTGAGAAATTCTATTTGGCTTTAGTTGTTTTTTTTTTTTTTTTTAAATTGTGAATGAGGTAGAGCATCTTTTCATAAGTTTAATGGCCATTTTTACGTCTTCTTTTGTCAGTTGTGTCTTCGTGTCTTTGCCCATTTTTCTGTTATGCTTCCTTCAATTTTGAAGAGTCCTTTTTATCTGTGGGATATTAGTCCTCTGGGTTAGATGTTGCAGCTGTGTTTCCCCCATTTCAGTTGTCCTTTGACTTTATATTTTTATTGCATTGTAAACTTAAACATTTTTTATGTAGTTAGATTTATTAATCTTTCATTGTATTGGATACGATTGATTGATTGATTGATTGATTGATTTTAAGCCATAGCTAGAAAGCTTTTCTCTACCCCCAAATTAAAGAGGAATTTGCCCTGTTTTCCTCCAGTACCTGCATGGTTTCATTTTCTGTGTTGAGGTGCTTAATCCACTTGGTGTTTATTCTTGTGTATGGTGTAAGCACAATGATACTTGGTTGTTCCAGTTTTATTCTTTTCCAAATATTATTGTTCCAGCACCATTATTAAAAAGTCCATCTTTGCCCTAGTGATTTGAGATGTAACCCTTGTCACATACTAAATGTACACATTTATTTAGAACCCTATCTGTGCCCTGTTTTAATCCTTTGGTCTGTCTACTCACGAACCTGTAGCACACTGTTTTACTTACAGAGGCTTTATATCTGGTATAGGTAATATAATATCTGCTATCTCTAGTTTCCCCTCAAAACTTTACTTTTTGTGTTTTCCTGGATGTTCTTGCATGTTTATTTTTATATGTAGTTGAGTATTGACTTGCCTAGCACCTTAAAATGCTTGTTTATATTTTTGTTTATATTGTGTTACATTTACAAATTCATGATATATGATGTTGAACCATACTATCTAAAAACTAGGATGTCTAGGGGCACCTGGGTAGCTCACTAGGTTAAGCATCCGACTTCCACTCAGGTCGCCATCACATGGTTTGCGAGTTCAAGCCCTGCATCAGGCTTTCTGCTGTCAGCGCAGAGCCCGCTTTGGATCCTCTGTCTCCCTCTCTCTCTGCGCCTCCCCTGTGCACTTGCACGTGCTCTCTCTCTCTCTCTTTCACTCTCTCTCTCTCTCTCACTCTCTCTCACTTACATACATAAATACATACATACATACATACATACATACATACATACATAAAAACAAGTATGTTAACTCTATTTCTGTGTTTTTTAAAAAGGTTTTAAATATTTCCATATAATTTTCACGTATTTTTTATTAAATGTATTGCTAAGAATTTCATCTTTGTTGATAGTGTAAAAGAAGTTTTCTCTACTGTTAATATCTTCTAACTGGTTATGGTTTATGTAAATGGAAGCTGTTGACATCGGTATGTTAATTTTATATCCTGCTACCTTGCTAACTTATTTCATTTTCTTATTTGAATTCATTTTCTAATTGACTCTCTAGGGTTTTCCTGTTATGCAGTCATATCATCTGCAAATAGAGATAGTTTTACTTCTTACCTTCCATTTATTGGCTACTGCCTTGAATACAGTATTGAATAGGAGTGGAGGTAGTGGGCATCCCCTTTCTGATCTTAGTGGAAAAGCCTGTGGTTTTTCTCCATTTAGTAAGGCAGAGTCCCTGTCCAAAAACTTCAGCCCAGGTTACAAGAGGGAGGGGAAGACTGGAATGCCTGCACCCACCTCACGGCCACACTGGTGGTGCTTTAAAGGCACGTGAGCCTCAGCTTATGCACGTGCCTTTTCCTATCCAATAGTTCGACGAGACTAGATTATTTGTATAGCATTTTTTTCTGATTGTAACAGTATTGCATATTATTTATTGGAAATTGGGAATGTACTTGAAAGTAGAAAAGAAAATACTTGCGGTCTTGCCACCCAGAAATGATCATTATTAACATTTTGAGGCATTTTCATCTAGCCTGTTTTCTCTGTGTGCATGTGTGTACAGGGTTTATATCAATTCATAGTGTATCAAGGCATATGTAAAGTCCTCATCTCCCTCAGTCAATTGCAGGGCTAAATCAGTCCTACCTTTGAAAATGCATATTAGACTTTACATAAATATAAACGATACGATACTTAATGTCACAAGCCTTTTCCGTATCCTTAATCATTTTTGACAGATTTTGTAATGGCTGTAATCTCTAAGAGTAGTAGCACCTTGATTTTGAAATAGGTATATATTCACGCACCTCATTTCTTTTCCATGTCATCACCAGGAAGAGAAATAAGAGGCAGTCGGGGCTATCTGGGGCAGGGAGAGAAGGATGGTACAAAAAAATATTGAAGTAACAAACAAACGAATGTCAAAGGTACCATAAAATATTAACTTTATACCTGTGAGTTTTAAGAGGGAGGGTGAGAGTGTTCCCGTTGAGATTAGAGAAAACACCTGTGCTGCAAGCAGGCCATGGTGAGCCTGGAGAGAAGGGGGTCGCTCAGTGCGAGGAGCCGGGGAAATAGCAGAGAGTGAAAACTTCACGGGAGCCAAAGGGGCATCACAGCAGAGCTCCTGGAAGAACGCAGAGGGCAGCTGGGAGCGCGCGAACTGATCTGGGGCTGGCTGACGGCCTGTGTGTTCAGAACGCAGGCGATGGTTCTTTTCTCTCCAATTGCTCTAGAAGGACCAAGTTCGGTTTACCTTTGCTGTTTTAAATTCGCATTCTCTTAACTTGATGAAAACCTTTTCTTTCTCAATTAATGATAAAAGACTCAAAATGTAAATTCATAATTAAGGCCACCCTGTAGTGCTAATTGTTTTGTATTGAAGTGTACTCCATTCGCTTATGAAAACAGCTTGTTACCAGGTCCTTTTTTTTTTTTTCCATGGGAGATAAATAACAGAGCTGGAGGCTCAGGACTGCAGACAAATTTTAGGCACCGTTACTGATTGTTTTTTCTTATTCTCAAACATGAGTAATTATATTGAATGTTGATCAGTAGCCTCTTTAAGTAAACAGTTTATTTCGTTAATTATTTAGTTGATTTTTGGAATAACAAAAGATTATTTTCTACATGTTTCAAGTATATCATTTTATTCTTTTAGCTCTTATCTTCATTGTCAATGGGCATCTGTAGAAGATCTGGAGAAAGATAAGAGAATTCAGCAAAAGATCAAACGATTTAAGGCAAAGCAGGGCCAGAACAAATTCCTTTCAGAGGTATGAAATACCCAGTTAATTTTCTTAAGTAGCAACCTTATTAAAGTGTTCTGAATTTTGAATTTTAGTTTAGTAAATTACTAAGAAAAATTAGTTTGCCTCATTTGTGCTGTTACTTGCATATTGGTAGCTGGTTATTGCTAAAAAAAATTTGTAAACAGGAAATTTCTCATTCTTCCTGTTGCTTAGTCTAGAAGATACTGGTCCTTGTGATATTATGTGGAAATATGATGGTATCATTAAAATCTTGTAATGAAAATACAGTTAGCACACAGTGAAAAAAGTAAGCGGATAAAAGTTCTGTTAAGGTTTAGTGAGTTAAAGACTCTGCAGTAAGTATAAAGTAACATTTTTTAGAATGTAAGTTACTTCTGTAAGGGAAAGTATGTGGCAGATTTCTTTTGTTCAAGTCAATGCCTGATTACAGAGTTTACAAGTGATGTGCTATGGTATAGAAGTTGGTGTAATGTCTTCTGCCTGTCTCCCCTTACCCTAGGTTATCGATGATGAAAAGGTAACCATACCTAGCGCAGGGAAGGAAATCTGCATTTTTTTTTTTTTTTTTTTTTTTTTTTTTAAGGTAGCGCCAAGTCCCCTCCAAAAAGCTCAGTTACATTAAAAGAAATGCTTTTGCAGACTGCTTACTGGCGTCTCTGGACTTTTGCTCACCAGTTTGGTTTCACTTAAGAGTAACCTTCACATTGAAAGATTAAACTTGCTGATTGATTAATTTTCCTCTCCTTAAAGAACTTAACAGCATATAAACTGCAAAGATGTGTGACATTTGATGCAAAATAATACCTGTTTAACAACCTTCAGACCCCCCTCCCCCCCCCCCCCCCCCCCCCCCCCCCCCCCCCCCCCCCGCCTTTTGGACCATTGGGGGTAGGGATGGAAGAATATTCAGTACTTTTGGGTCATAAAATCCTCATAATCTCAGGTCACAAGTCTGTGTTCTCCTGGAATCTGATTTCCACGCTCCCGACAGGCAGCCCGTAGTTTGTGGTGGATGGGCCTTTGGGTGGTGGTGGTTTTATTGGGCATGTGTCTGCATCACCACCTTTACTGATCTGAGTATGTAGCTTCCTCGAAGCACAGTAATTAACACTGAGGGGAATGGAGTTACTCAGATGTGACTCAGTCTTCACCTCTTGGAGAATATTGAAGTGATTTTTTTGGGGGGGGGCGGGGAAGGGCAGTTTCTAAGAAAATACCACGAAATTCTATTTTTTGTGCCCTTCTTCATGCAACTGAAGTCAAATGTTGGTGACATTAGGCAAGTTGAAATCATTAGCTTCCTTTTAGAAAGAGACGCCATATGTTCTGCTGACCTTTTCTATGGATCAGTGTAGGGAGAAGGAAAACATGCGATGGTAGCTTCCCCCCATCCTCCAGTCCTGGTTCTGTTTATTAAACGTTTGCTGGTGTCAGAGGCACTTCGGGGATCTGTGCCCGGCTCTAGCTGTGTAGCCTTATCTATTTGGATCTGTCTGTGTGAGTAACCTGTACCACAGTCGAAATACATTATCTTGCTTGGTAACTCAGCAACTAGGAATCTTAAGTTTTGTCCTGAGTGGAAATAGCACTAATTCCAGCCTGAAAAGGTGGTCTAAGGGCCAGCACAAAAGGATAGCAATTCCCTTTCTCTCTTCCTCTTTTACACGCACATGCACATGCACATGCACACACGGGCGCCCTTTCCCGTAGACAGTCCCGGTTTCAGGTGTTCCACGGCTCTGCTGCTTTGGCATTTTTAATTACGACTGCTTTTGCATTCTTTGTTTCACCTTAGGCTTCTTCATAAGCCGCCGCCACTAAAATCTTTATTCAAACTGGAAACTGTGTCCCACTCATGATGGCACGGATGAGTTGCTGGCAAGGTGGAAGTGTTTAGGAGTAAGGTTAAGGATTTTAACTCATCAGTGAACGCTTCTGTTTAAGGACAAGATGTCTTAAAAGGAGCTTTTAGCATCAGAACCCAGTTTATGGGGAGTTTTAGTGTTGATGTTAGTGTGAATAAGGCATACGTATTGCATACCTGAATCTAGAAGCTTCGAACAGAGCCAGTGCATTCATACGTTAACATTTTAAATACACTGAACGTTTCAGTGGATTTTTTGCCTTACTAATCAACTCTGTGTAAGGGCCCGAGGCATCTGAAACACACTTTTGTATTTCTGATTTTTTTTTTTTTTTTTTTTTTTTTTTTTTTTTTTTTTTTTTTTTTCATAATTCAGAGTTCAAAGGCCCCGGACCAGACATTGTAAATGGGCACAGCAGCCCAGGGAATGTTTGTCATCCTTGAGCTGGCTGTGACCAAACAGCTTATCTTTCCGACCTGCAGTTTAGGGCATATGAGCGGTGTCTAAGTGACTTCTAATATGTCTCTGCAAAAGGCTTTTAATGCAGTTTTGTTACCGATAAGTTGATCTCTAGGAACACATACTAATGTGTCTTTTGTTTTCTAACTTATCTGTCTCTGGCTTCTCTAAAGTATGATTTAGTCTGTAATTTCCCTTTGAGCCACATTCTATTCTTTTCTATGAGATAACTTTGCAAGCAAGTAGTACTACTTTACTTTTGTGAAGATTGTTAATACGTTGGCTAAATAACCCAATTGTTTAAGCCTCATTTCTTTATCCTTAATATTTTTAGCCAGATGCTCTATATTCAGTACAAATAAATCATTAGAACACTTAGATTAATGACAAAACTGTATTCCAAGGAGGTACTACCGTTGATTGGCGAAGGCGACCAAACATCCCATACTGTTCACACTAAAATATGAAATTCACTGGTTTCAGTGTTTTTAGCTTTTGAATAGCATTCTGTAAACGATGCTATAAGGCATCAGACAACTCCGGTAGTTACAAGACTCCGAGAGCACTTACTGTGCATAGCCTGGCTTCTTTATTGCAAGCTGTAGTTTCAAGAATGCTAAATGCATTGCATGCCATAAGCCTTTTGGATTGCTCATTAGTGAATTGTAATTTCACACTTCATTTAAAATATTCTTAAACATTCTCTCACAGTAAAAAGGTTTCACACAGTAATTAAAAGACCCAGTTAACAAAGTCTGAGAAGTCTGATTTCCTCATGGGGAATGATTTTGCTAAATTGTAGCATTTCAATTAATATAATAGAATTTGCCAAATATAAATTTTATTTTACTGTGACCCAAAATATTATTGCCTGGTGAAAAGTGAAATAGTGTTTACTCTCAGGAATTAAATAAACATTTTAACTTTTTAATTTTCTTTCCTTTGGCGCAGATTGAAGATGAGCTTTTTAATCCAGATTATGTGGAGGTTGACCGGATAATGGACTTTGCACGAAGCACAGATGAACGGGGAGAGGTGACAGAGATCACTTGTATCAGGGGGCAGTGACTCAGACAGCTTATGTGTGTTTGTGGAGAATGATTATAGGATCCTAGATCTGGTCCTGGTCAGAGCCTTGGATCATGACACAGTTGGGTCTAAATTTAACTGAAACTTATTGACTATTAGTTCTATGACTTAATAATGGCGCTAAGTGTGTTCTTTGTTTAGTGTGAGAGCTTTTTAAAAGAAATCAATTTTCAATATGAAACAAATACATTGGCATTTTGCAGAATTTCAGAATATGACCAATAAAGAAGAATTTAGTACACTTTGGTCTAAACCTGTCATGAAGCACAAATTTCCTATACATAATTAAGAGTGCTCTTAGCAGAATGGAATTTAGTGTTATTTAACATTGTACGTCCTTACTGTGCGTTGATGAACCTCATTTAATGTAGTGCACAGAGAATAATGTAAAGTAATCCTCTTTATGAGATCTTGGCATTCTCATGTTGCTTTGCAAAACTCTGTGAGGTTGTAAAGGACAGTTGATTAGGGCAATAAGAGTGGAGACAAGTCTAGTGCCTTCCCAAGTATGATGTCTTGGTGACGATATACCCACCCACCATGAGCTCTGTCATTCCTGGCTTCTTTGTGTAAATTAAGCTTTATATAAAATGTTTAGATCTTGGGATGCCTGGGCGACTCAGTCGGTTAAGCATCCAACCCTTGGTTTCGGCTCAGGCCATGATCTCACAGTTTGTGGGTTCAAGCTCCGCATCGGGCTCTGTGCTGACAGTGCGGAACCTGCTTGGGATTTTCTCTCTCTCTCTCTCTCTCTCTCTCTCTCTCTCTCTCTCTCTGCCACTCCCCTGCTCGCTCTCTCTCTCTCAAATAAACATAAAAAAATAAAATAAAATAAAGTGTTTAGATCTTGCTTATCTAGTGAGAGTCTGCAGTGAACTCCCAGATTTTTCCAAACTCTGTATCATGAAGTCCATGATGTTTCAAAGACAGTATCTGTAAGGGGATGTTTGCTTTTCTAGTTTTACTTTGCTTTACTTATGAGAAAATTATTGCATATTTACATAGGACAGTGAGTGTTTTTAACATCACAACCAGGTCAGTGTACCTTAGCCTTGAAGTGAAGGTCCACAAACCCAAGTATTTTCTAGAGGAAAGACAAAGGAAATTTTGTTGATCTGCATTACCCAAAATATTTTGTTCTCCAGCCTACTAGACCTCACTTTATTTTAAAGTGATCAGGTACAAACAATACCTCTCTCTTTAGGAAAAAGGCAGAGATACTAATAAATTCAAGCTTGTTTCTCATTCGTTAAGAAACTAGCCAATTATGTAAACATGTAAATACTGGCTATGATGATTTACTGTAGAAGTCTGAATCAGACACCTGATAAATGATTTGCACACATAAGAGTAAGGCTTAAATTCAGCTGTGTTATGTACTAGCTATTTCTTTATATATCTTGACTTTTGAACATGCCAGTGCATTAGATAAAATTTAACTTACTCTGATAACACCCAGTAATACTCTTTCCAATTTAGACTTGACACTGTTAACTAGGAACCACGGTGTAATGGGTGTAGTTTTAAAACTACCACCAACTCATTCTTTCTGTCGCTGGGGTAGCATCCATCATTAAATAATGTAGAACACGTGTTTTTCGTGTGAGTGTGTGTGTGTGTGTGTGTGTGTGTGTGCGCGCGCGCGCGCGCACGCGCACATTGATCAAATGAATCCATTTCTGATTTATTTAAACTTGGCCCAGCCTGTGACTCACTACCTGGTGAAGTGGTGTTCCCTGCCTTACGAAGACAGCACGTGGGAACTAAGGCAGGACATAGATCAAGCAAAGATCGAAGAGTTTGAGAAACTAATGTCCAGGGAGCCAGAAACAGAGCGTGTGGTAAGAATTGGCTAATGGTGAAGGGTTTAATTTGGAAATAGCATAGCAGTGTGGTCTTGGAGAAACCACTAATGGGATCTACTATATTTGAAACAGGAGCGACCTCCTGCTGATGACTGGAAGAAATCGGAGAGTTCCAGGGAGTACAAAAACAATAACAAACTCAGGGAATACCAGTTGGAGGGAGTAAACTGGCTACTTTTCAATTGGTACAACATGTATGTAAACCATGTTTTTCTTCACTTTGAAGAAGGCCTAAGAACTGTTTTCCTTTGTAGTCATTGAAAATGTTAATCAGGGGTGCCTGGGTGGATGTCGGTTGAGCGTCTGACTCTTGGTTTGGGCTCAGGTCATGATCTCACGGTTTCGTGAGTTCGAGCCCCGCATCAGCCTCTGCACTGACAGTGTGGAACCTGCTTGGGATTCTCTGTCTCCCTCTCTGTCTCTCTCTGCCCCTCCCCCACTCTCACTGTCTCTGTCTCTAAATAAATAAATAAACTTAAAAATTAAAAAAATAATATTAATATTAATCAAATAATAGTGTAACACTTTAATCTCTAATAAGAATTATGGAAAACAGCAAGGATTGGAAGTATGCTTCATATTTATCCAACAAACATTAACACCGACATTGATAGAAGTATGTAGAAATAATGATGTCTTAGAGGATTTTGTTTGAAAATGTGTTCTGTTGAATCTGAGAGATCATCTGAGGTAGGCATTTGTGAATATAATAGCATATGTTTTGTAAAAAGACAGCAGTATCTAATATCCATACTTACTAAACTTTTCTCATTTTGTTTCCTTCCCAAAGGCGAAACTGCATTTTAGCAGATGAAATGGGTTTGGGAAAAACTATCCAGTCCATTACATTTCTCTATGAGATATATTTGAAAGGAATCCATGGCCCTTTTTTAGTAATTGCCCCATTGTCCACAATCCCCAACTGGGAAAGGGAATTCCGTACCTGGACAGAGTTGAACGTGGTTGTGTATCATGGGAGTCAAGCTAGTCGTCGGACCATTCAGTTGTATGAAATGTACTTCAAAGATCCCCAGGTAAAACGTCACAAGTGGATTCTTGATGCTTCTTATGTGTGTTTTAAGGTTTTGGATGTTAAAATGGTCTCAGACATTTTGGGGAAAGGCCTAGATTTTACAAAATGGAGAAATTTGCTTTAGATTTCTTATCCAGTTTATTGTGTTATACTTTCTCATCTTGTAAATATAGCTACTTTTTATACCTTTGGTCATCCTGATTATTAGATAAGAATGAATGAAATATTTTTACTTTGGGTGAACTATGGAAAATCATTTAATGTTTTGATGCACTAATTGGTTTTATTTTGCAAGCCTAAGAAAAAGCTAAACAAAAAATGGTGTTATTCAATGTAAGTAGAAAGAATATTTTGTGAAACTATTACTAGAAGTAAAAATGATTAGGCATGCAATGTTGAGTGGCACATCCGAGCATATAATGTTGAGTGAAATACACCCAAAGGGAGGAACTTCTCCTTTGGCTCTAGGTAGCACTTGGTATGATTTCTTACTTGTTCTTTGTTACCTGTATACAGTTATTGTATGATATTGACGGCAAAGCATTATAAATGACAAAGAAGGAAGAATAGTGTGTGCTAAAGTAGTTTTAAGCTACAGGTGGTAAATGGTAGTCCTACAGCTGGAAATAGGACAGAGTTTTGTTTTATATGTTTGCCTTATGTGTAAAATCTGACTATAATTAAATACTTCAAGGAGAAAAATATTGAAATCTATTTTGGTACTTATCTTTAGATTCAAGAATTTGTTGTAAGTTCTATCCTAAGTGAATGGTTTTTCATTTTAGCCCTTCAAAAGTAAAACATAGGAGCACCTGGGTGGCTCAGCTGGTTAAGCATCTGACTCTCGATTTCAGCTCAGGTCATGATCTCACGGTCGTGAGGTTGAGCCCCTGCACTGGGTGTGGAGCCTTCTTAAGATTCTCTCTCTCTCTCTCTCTCTCTCTCTCTCTCTCTCTCTCTCTC